ATTTTTTTTTTTTTTTTTTTTTTTTTTTTTTTGGTACCAGGGATCAAACTCAGGACCTTCCATTTCCACTTGCAGGGAAGACAGTGGCATGACTGAGCTAAATTCCTGGCCCTGTCTCTTCTGCTTTTAATCTTTACTTTTTCATTATTGAGAGTTTGGCTTCATTCAAAAAGGATACAGTCTTTTAGGTGTTTTGCCACAGAAATCAAGCCAGTCAGTCATGTGCCTCTGGGCATACATGCCACAGTCAAGAAGTTTTTTCAGAATACTCTGGCCCTGCCTTTCCCAAAAACTCTTTTAAAAAATATTTTTTATTTTGTGATTGGGTCTTGCTGAGTTGTCATGTTACCCTGGCTAGCTTTGAACCTACAGTCCTCCTGCCTCAGCTTCCCATAGTGCTGGGATTACAGACATCCACCCCCATACCTGGCTCCTTTGCTTTCTCTTTGTGCTGCCTCTTGGCCTATAGCATTTTGGAAGATCGTGCTCCAGGGTGGTGTATAGGCACAAATGTGAGCATCCCAATTACCTGCACACTTTGCAGTTCCTAGAAGGACCTAACACCCTCAAATTCACCTGGGGTTCTTGGGGCCTTGCTGTGGCAGTTGTGAGGCTGTCCCTTTCTCTAGCTCGACAGCTGGCTGTTGGCGGAAGGCTGGCTTGGGCTAAGCCTGTAGGGCTGATACATGGGGAGCAGGGTTCTTGGCGTATGAGAATGTTAGGAAACTCCATAAATAAAAATTGATTGCAACCATGAATTTAAAAAGTTAGGAGGTGAAGGACAAATCAATACTTTTAATTTTAAGTTGCTGGGGTGGTTGTGCAATGCTCTTTTCAACAGACTTGAGACTGGGTGGCAGCATCTTGCTAAGTCCCTCCTGTGCTTTGTCTTAGGGAGGCGCCATATCCACCACCTGGGGAGCCAGCTGCAGCTGAACCAGCACTGCCTTGACACCGCCTTCATCTTCTTCAAGATGGCTGCAAACAAGAGCCTGACCCGAGGACGCAAGATGGCCCATGTGATCGCTGCCTGCCTCTACCTGGTGTGTCGCACAGAAGGCACACCACGTATCCTTTCTTGCCTAATATCCTCGTGTAACTCGGTAGATACAAGAACTTGGTATTTGTATTTGGCTGACAGATGCCTCCATGGGTTGCCAGTCTCCATTGTTCCATGGCTTTCTGAACTTGAGGCCCCTCTTCCAGTTTAAAGGATTGGGAAGCTGGGTGCCTCCCAACCCTAGGATTCCACTGGGCCCTGAATTTTCTTACTGACCTTGGAACTGACTCAGCCTTGCACTCTGTTTTTGGCATCCTCTTCTGGTTTGAAGACCTAAGGTGCTGCCGCCATGGTGAATGTAGCCAGGGTGAGCCTGTGTCCTTGGGGATTTGGAATGGAGAAGAGAAAGGGGACTGCTCACCGTGTCTGCTGACCTTTCTTCCTTTCCACACAGTGTTGCCTGGTATTCTGTGCATGTCTAAACATCCAGCTTTGAGGTCTGCATGTGTGCATGCGCATCAAGAACTCTTGCCTCTTGTCCTCCTAAAGAAACCTTCCCAACTTCCTTCTTACAGTGTCCACCATCTGTGCTCACCACTCAAGGGTCATTTGGAGTTCCTTTGCCCTGTTGTTCTGGGGCCCCTGTCTTCTCTACAGGCTCCCTGAGAACAGGGCCTGCTGTGAGCTATAAACAGTTGTAAATGTATTCCATTTGCACATCTGCCCATAGGCTGCACAGCACTGCCCAGAGCCTTCTCACTCAAGCACTCTCTACCCACAGTTGGAGCCCTTCTGATCTTTGGCCCTTAGTGTGTGACCATTGTGTTCCCACCTGCATCTGATGGTCCTGTGAGAGAGTTCAGTCTGGCAGATGCTTAGGGCTTTGCCAGGGGACGTGGGACCTGCTTCCAGCTGGGCGACCCTAGATCTCAGAGTCTTTTGTTTAAATGTCCCTTAAAAATGGGAAATGTATCATGTCAGGGACAATGCAAATACCTGTATAGCCCCAGTGCAGGTTGGGAACGGAGCACAATACATGGCTGACCTACCATGTCCCTACTGCTGCCAGACATCCTTTGCCCTTTTCTGTCCTTGGACCCTGCTGCAGATGTCATACTGCAGGCTGGCTGTGGGTCAGGAGCCTTGGTAGCTTAGCAGAGCTGATGCACCATCCAGCTCTGCCTCTTGGGTTTACAGGAACCCTTTAAGGGCTCCCAGAAAAGAAGACCCACTGTGTGGCCAGCCCAAACCTTGGTGGGTGGCTGGATAGCATGACTGTGTTGTCTGCACCCTAGCTCCCCACTCCCAAGTGTCAGAGCAGATGTCCTACAGCAGAAGGAGCATCCTTAGCCACTCTAGTATTGAGAACATCTTAGCGAAGTGATAAAATGAGGCCTGGGAGTACAACATTGCATCATTCGCCAGCTGCTGGTGGGAGAAGAGGTAGCAAGCTCTGTGGAAAACCACTCCCATAGTCACCCACCTACCACCCGACTCAAACTCCTGAGGAGCTTTGTCTACATGGGGCTTGTACCCTGGTGTTCTCAGGAAACCCTAGATGTCTAGAGATGTCCTGCAGCTTTGTGTAAAGCACACATTTGTGTGTGGGTGGGTGCTCTTGCCTACAACAACCCCTCCCCCCCAATACTGGGGATTGAACTCAGGACCTTGTGCTTGTGAGGCAAGCAGTAATGCCACTGAGCTTAAATTCCCAGCCCTATAGCAGGTTATTATTTTTTTTAACCAATAGTTTTAGCATTTATCAATTTTTATTTTTTAATTTTTTTATTTTATTGAGTTTATTGGTACTTTTTAAGATTTCTAAAATTTGACTTTTTTTTTTACATTTATTGTGCAGAATTGGTACATGTATATAACATATCTCAATTCCCAACAGGCCAAAATCATTAAAAAAAAACCAAAACTAAATCAAGGTACACTTTTGGGTACATTGGCCATGTCTACAACTATTTTTAAGTATTTGATATTTGTTTCAGTTGAGCTGGAGCAGGCCAGCATGTGAACTGTGGTCTTGGGATAGTGACGACAGGTGGGTGGGCTCAGGTGAGGGCCCAAGCTAGGATGCTACAGCATCGCTGGCTGTGCAAGGGGAGGGCACCCCCATGGTGCACAGGTTGTTGCCTGGAGAGTGTGCCCATGGCAGACTGGCCTCCATGTACACACCTAATAGTGCTGGAGCAGGCCATCTTGGCTGCATTCTGCAGGGTCTTAAACATTCAGGCCAGTGGTAGTTCTGATGCATGGGTCGTGGAAACTTCCAGGATCTGCATTTCTGACAGGCTCCAGGTGACCTGTGCCCTGCTTCAGCTGAGGACAACAGGGCAACCTCTCATTCTGCTGCCCCAGACTCTCAGTCACCTCTGCCTGTTCCCACTGGTTCCTCAAAGCAATGGATTCAAACTTTAAGTGGGCAAGTGTAGATAGCAAAGTGGCTTGCACTCTTCTTAAGAAATTGCACCTCCAGAAGGCTGACATGGAAAGGACTGCCTGTACCTAGTGTTGGCCAGCCATGGCGGTGGGCTCCTGGGTCATGTGTCCTGCCACTCACTGACTCCTTTATCTTCTGTCAATGGGGTGATGTTTTGAGCTCATGAAAAATGATATCTTTTGTCCTGGTTTATAGAAGTATAATGGAATTTTGTGTGTTGGTATTATATCCAGTAATCTTAACAAAATTCAGGTGCTAATCTTATTCGAGCTTTGGAATATGTTTTTAAGTACAAAGTATAGGAAATGAATTTACTTCTGAGACTTGAGAGACAAGAAATGGGACTCAAGGTGTTGAAAGCAAGGCTTTTAATTCAAACTTGCAAGAGTGATGTCTAAAGAGAGATAGGCACCCTATAATTGAGAAACTGTGTGGTTTTATTCCTAGTTCAAAGGCATTCTTGCCTCCATCTCCCATGGCCCAGGATCCAGGGTTCAGTCTATCCTGAGCAGTGTATTTCATCTTGTAACTATTGGCCCCCTACCTTTTGCTTTCTTATCCCTTCCTCACTATTTCTTTTTGTAGCTATTTTCCCAGGATTCAGGAAGATTTGTTTAGCAGTTATCTCTTACCCAGAATCTTATTTCTGGTGTATCTGTACAACCTTTGTGTCCTTGTCCATTAGTCGACTGAGCTAAGTCTGAGAATAAGGACTTATTATAGTGGTTAATGAAATATGGACCAATTAAAACTATTTTACCTTTTACAACAGTTGTTGCTGCTAATAAAGCCATTTTTAGTTCTTCTTTGCGAGTCCATGTGGCCATCGTGTGTTTTTCTTCTCTTTTGCTGCCTGTGACTGCCAGATGTAGTAAGGGGAGACATCCTTGGGGGCTGCCCAGTCTCCAGAGTGATGCTTTCTACTGTTAGGGTATTTTTGGTACTGGGGATTGAACTCGGGACCTTGGGTTTGAAAGGTAGGCGGAAGAACCACTGAGCTAAATCCCTGACCCACTATTAGAATTTTTATGGTAGGATTTTTGTAGATGGCTCTTTATCAGGGTAAGGGTATTACTACTTTTTTCCTTTTCTAAGCATTTTTATCATGAAGGGTATAGAATTTTATCACACATTTTTGCCTATTGTGGTGCTCAGACTTGGTGTGCTGCATGGTGGAACAGGGACACACTGGTCCTTCGCGGGCACTCAATCCTTCTGTGAGCTGAAAAGTGGGCTGGAAGGGCATCATTAGGTCCCCTGTAGGTTGTCCAGACACTGCTTGAGGCCAGCATGAGGGTGACCTTGGGGTTGTGTCAGGGGCAGGGTTCTTCTTGACCTAGGAGCTGGATCCTCACAGGGCCTACTTTGGGTACTGGTCCTGTCTAATATCTGGGATAACTGATGCCACCCACGATGTGACCGAGATCCTTCAGAGCCTGGCCCAGGCAGGCGTGAGCCCTGGATGCCCTCTCCCCAACCAGGCTTCTGTTTCTGGAAGCTTGGGATGAAGCCTCTTTCTCTTCTGTCTTCTCAGAGATCACATCCACCCAGCTCTGTGCCTCTGTAAGAGCTCTACAATGCAGGGCTTGTCAACATGCTGGGAATCCTCTGCTGGCAATGGCTCTCCACTTGGCCATGTCAGGCAGGACAATTTCTCAAATCCTGGAGGCTGTTCTATTTCATCCTATGCTAGGTCAAGAGCAGAAACATGAGCCAAACCCTCCAGATTCAGTTCTGGCTCTGCCTCTGAGCTTGACCTTGCTTCTCAGCCTGTTGCCTTTGCAGGAAACTGGGGAAGGGACGGCTTCAATACCTCCCTGGCTTATTGTCAAAGAGCAGGGCCCAGGGTTGTGTAGACAATGGGCATTAGGTTGTGCAGATAACAGGCTGTGCTAACGGCAGGCATCAGGGTTGTGTAGACAGCAGACAGTAGGTTGTTATCTACACAGCAGGTGTCAGGATTGTGTAGATGGCAGGGATGTTAGACAATCGGCATCAGGGTTGTGTAGCCAGCATGTTAATGTTGGCAGACAGTGGGTGTTCATCTGGCTGCTGGCACAGCAAGTGCAAGTCAGGCTGCTGAGTGCTGGGGCCTTTGCCTGGTTGACACCCTGGGAGCCCTGCCCTGTATGATGCTGTGGGCTGGTCTGTCAATAACTGAGTAAGAGGGACTCAGGAGGGGTATATGGTGGACAGCAGGTGGATGCCAGCTGGCCAGGTTTTTTGGCAGGGTTACATCCTCCATTCCCAGCCAACGGACCATGTACATACTCTTTCAGACCCATGGGTGGCCTGATATCTATTTAAGTTGGTTAGCAGTTTAAGTCCAGTCCCCTTTTTAAAAAAGTAACTCATTCGTGCTCTCATGGATTTATTCTGAAAAATTTCAAGCATCTCAGACTTGAATTGTAGTTTTCCATGGACGTTGTACCCTCTCTGTGCTATGATTGCTCCCCTCTAGCCACCAGCTCTCTATCCCTCATCATCTTACATATGCAAAGCAAGTTGCAGGCCTCTGCCCCCTCCTAAAACCCTGCAGAAGTGGGTAATTAGCTCACTTGAGTTCATTATTTATGGTTATTTTCCTTGGAGATAAAATTGGTGTAGGATGAAATGTATAGATATCTTTTTAAAGGTTATTTTTAGCCAACAGTGGTGGTACATGCCTGTAATTCAGCACTCGGGAGGCTGAGGAAGGAGAATTGCCATAAGTTCAAGGCCAACCTGGGCTACACAGTGAATTCAAAGCCAGCCTGAAATGCATAGTGAGAGCATGTCTCAAAAAAAAAAAAAAAAAAAAAGGTTATTTAAAAATTCTTTATTACTTGGAATTTTTTGTTTTTTATTTTTGAGACAAGCTGGCTAAGTTGCCAAGTTGCCCAGGCTGGGTTAAAACTTGCAATTCTCCTGCCTCAGTCTCAGTCTCAGAGTGATGGAATTATAAGCACACACCACTGCACCTGGCTCCTTTTTTCTCTCCAGTACTGGAGACTGAACACAGGGCCTTTGTACTGAGCTATATCCCAGCCTCTTTTTTATTTTGTGATCCGTCTTAATAAGTTGCTAAAATGCTAGGCGTGGTGGCACACATCTGTAATCCCAGCACTCGGGAGGGTGAGGCAGGAGGATTGCTGTGAGTTTGAGACCAACCTGAACTACATAGTGAGTTCCAGGTCAGTCTCAACTACATAGTGAGACCCTGTCTCAAAAAAACCCAAAAAAATAAAAAACAAAAAATAAGTTGCTAAATTGCCCAGGTTGGGCTTGAACTTGGGATCCTCCTGTCTCACGCTCCTAGAATGCTGGGATTACATGTGTGCACCACTACAGCCAACTCACAGGTGTTTATCATAGCATTGATGAGTTCTGACAAATGCATATATCTGTGTTATCAGGTCATCATCCTTGGAGCAGCAGAGTGGAGCCAACACTTCAGGGTGTTCAAGCCCTGCCCTGCCCTATAGGCGGCCACCATTGTCTTTCCACCCTAGACCAGTGTCTCATGCTAGGGCAACTTGTAAGTGATCACACACTGAGCTCTTTCCAGCAGGTTTCAGTCACTTGGCATGGTTTGTATTTGCCCATGTTGATTTCCGTGCTGAGTACTGTCATGTACACCAGATCATTGATCCTTCTATAGTTTGGGGCACTGACTGAAGCTGCCAAGGGAATCTTGGGCAAGTCTTTCTGTGGACATATGGTGTTGCCTGGAGTCCACTGGTCTAGTGGAGTCACTGGGTACATATTTAATTGGGTGAAAACCTCCAGGCTGTCCTCCTGTGGCTGGGCCTTGCCAGTGTGGTGGCATATTTGGCTGTGGCATGTGTCCTTGTTCTCATCAGTGTTTGGTGCTGCTGTGGGCTCCTTGGTGTTTCTGTGGTAACTAACATAGCTGAGTTCATTTTATGTGTGTTGACTGTTTTCTCATTGTGAAGTTTCTGTTTACAAGTTTTACCCATTGTTTTGGCCTTTTGGGGGAGAGCAGGATATTACTATGTAGCCGAGGCTGACCTCAAAATCCTGGCAACCCTCCTGCCTCAGCCTCCTGAGTGCTGAGATTATAAGGTGTGTGCCACCACACCTGGCAATTACTATTTAATTATTATTTTTAAGTTCATTTTTTGGTACCAGGAATAGAACTTGGGACCTTGTGCTTGTGAGGCAGGCAGTGGAACCACTGAGCTAAATCCCTGGCCCTATTATTTTTTCTAAAATAAAACTTTTTTAAGAGAAATTTTTGTTTTACAGAAAGTTGTGCAGGAAGTAGTCTCTACTTGCCCTCTATCCCGTAATTGGCTGTTGCAAGCCTCTGCATCAGTGTGGCATGTCTCACTGTGGGACAGTTGGTAGTAGATATCAGCCTGGTCCTGGGGTACGTGGGGTTGCTGTTGGGATGCATATGCTGTGGTTTAGACAGATGTGTGGCCTTTGCCCAGCTCAACACTGCTCAGGTATTCTGGCCTAAGCCCCTGCTCCTTGTCACTCCTCTCCCTCCAGGCTGTGGCCACTGCTGATCTTCCTATCTTCACAGTTGAGTCTTTCTTCCAAAGTGTGATGGAGTTCAAGTCACACAGCATAGCCCTTTTCTTTTATTTGTTCTGTTGTCTTGCTTCCATGCCACTGATATCTGCCTTTTGACTTTCTCAGTTCTCATTTAACTTGTTGGTCCCTGGTGTAGTGTCATCTCTTCTCCCTGACAATGCCAGTACTTGTGGGATTAAAAAATGATGTCCCTTCTTCCCAGGCTCTGCTGCCTGTGACTTGGGTTGGCGTGTTTCGGGCTTTGTTCCTTCCTGTATATCTGGGTTCCAGGGCTTCTGCTCACATGGCTTTGGGCTCCAACTCAGCACCAGGCTTTACTTCTTGAGCTGGCAGCAGACCACGAATGGCATTTTTAAAATGTGATGCTTAGGACAGAACCCAGGCCTTGCATGTGCTGAGCACAGTTACCACTGAGTGATATCCCCAGCCAGTGGTGTTCATTTGAATGAACTTCACTGACAACAGCAGTCCTACTAGGGACCTGTGTTCTATTTTGTCTGTGTGTCATGTGAGTCTGGACTCACTTAGCCTGTGTCCTTGATAGTATTTGCTAATCTGTTGAGAGACCAGGTCCCATCCTAGAATCTCTTTAGCTGTCTCCTTGAGCAGGAGCACTGTTGTGCTACCTGCTGGACATGTGTACAGCCTCGCCATGCCTGGGTCTCTCTCTGGGAGTCTTCGTGGTCTGCCTCAGGATGGTGAGGTTGGCCCTCCGTGAGAGCTTAAGGAGTGGAGTCCGAGTGGAGTCGCGTGCACATTTCTGCCTCAGGGACAAAGAGCCTTGGCGTAGTGGGCACCTGGTGGGCAGGCAGGCAGTGACCTGTGGAGCACTGTGATTTTCTTGGGGGTCACATGGAAGCCTGTGTTTGTTTCCCTGGCCTGGCTCCCAGCATCTCTTATAGCCTTTGTCCTAGTTCCACAGAGGGATTCCCACCCCCGCTCTGGTCTGGGGACAGGAGGTCCTGGCCAGGCATTATGTCCCACCTTGGATTCGGTCAGAGCTTTTGTTTCCTGATCAGTGCCAAGTGGAGAGCAGCAGATGTGGCTCAGCTCCCGAGTGTGCAGATGCTCCTTAACCCTGGCTGCAGACATGCTCCTCGACCTCAGTGACCTGCTTCAGGTAGACCACATTCCTTCCTAGGGCTTCCCCACCCAAGGGATGGCTGGGAGGCCCCCATCTATGGGAGAGTAGCTAGGATGGCATGTGTCTGGTTGTATTAGAGCTCCAAAGGGCAGCTTCCAGAGGCCAGCATCGGAAGCACTTGAAAAACCCGTGGAACTTTGTCTTGGGTAAAGGAGTATCTTTAAAAGTAAAGGGAGGATAGGCTGGTGATTTAACTCAGTGGTACAGCTGCCTGCCTCACAAGCACAAGGTCCTGAATTTGATCTCTGGTACCAAAAAAAAAAAGTAAAGGGAGGGCCAGGGGTTTAGCTCAGTGGTGCCTCACTTGACTGGCAAGCACAAGGTCCCAAGTTCAATTTCCTGAATAAAAAAAAGGGGGGGAGTAGACCCCCTGTAGCATTTTAAACTGTAGAAAAGCCTTATATTTACCATTGGTTTATAGTTATTTTCTGGGTTCAGAGAAAGCATTTTCTATTGCATCTCTCAATGCCAAACGAATGTTGTGAGAAAACCCAGCCAGGGACATTCATGGTGGGAGAGTAGGCACTGAGACCCCAAACCGTGTCCTCATGGACAGCTTTGGAGTGATGGCTAGGGGGTAACTCAAGTCCTCAGCCTGGGTTGTGGCTGGGCTCAGAGGCCCACAGTGATCACTCTACTGAGGACCAGGAAAGAGAAATGCCGTTGAAAACAAAGATGACTAGTGTGAAGATGTGATGGCTCTCACAACTGAAATGAAGTCTTCTGTCCAGAGCTGATTGGCACCCCCAGGGTCTGGAAGCCCACAGGCCAGGATGCCACCTCAGTGCCTGGGCCTTGGTGTCCTTCAGGACTGTATTCACAAACAGAGTCCCCCTGGCTCACTTGGGGCCCTGTATCTCTGTCTTCCCAACTGTCTTTATAAATGGCATCTCTCAGCAGTTATTCTGAAGTATTTTGTGGTGAAGCTAAAAATAACCTGTTGGAATTGTGATCATCCAGTGACTTCACGTTCTAAATGTGCTGCACTCAATTCAAGGCAAGGTCACATGACCCCATCTCCAAGCTGGTGATTTCCCAGAAAGATGGGGACTGAGGCCAAGCAATAGGAAGTGGCTTGGCAGCACTGGGAGGCAGAGTGGGATGTAGCAGTCAGCTCCAGCTTCACGGCTTTAGAAACAGGAGTCTGGACAGGAGTTGGCCAGGAGGAGATGAGGTCCCTGTGCTGGTCAGGGAGAGCCATATGGTCAGGGTGGACACTCTGATTTGACCTCTGACACTGTAGCTAGTGGGGCAGAACTAAGTGTGAGGCCTTAGTCCCTGCTGGGCCTTGCCAGCCTGCTGAGATCTGGAGGGGCCAGCAAGTGAGGACCAAGCAAAGCTGACCCCTCCCTGGAAGGATCCACAGCTGGTTCCTTTGTTACTGAGATTTCCACTTTTTTAGGACCTGGGTGTGGCGCAGGCCCTCACTCTCTGGGACCTCACTCAGGAAGTCTACCTTCCAAAAAGGCTGACTGCTTTGAGGAAATTGTCTATAGCTTATTCTCTGGATCCTCCAGTGGGCCCTCCCAGGCCACTTGATCCCTGCCTTATGGCAGACACAGGGTTGCCACCTGCCCCAGTGCACAGCACCCAAGGGGAAATCAAGACTCACAAGGGCAATCTGCATGCAGAATCCAATGCCCTTCTTGGAGAAATGGGAGTGTGGACCAGCCCCACCTAGCCCTGGCCACCTGCCCTTGGGGAGCAGTGTTGGTCTCACACTGCTAGTGGGACCATTTCTGACAAATAGTACCCATAGGCATTAGTACCTCTGTAGTCCCTGCTATCAGGAGTCTGAAGTGAGGATTCCTTCAGCCTGAGTTCAAAGTCAGCCTGGGCAACACAGTGAGACCTATCTAAAAAATTATCTCTGGAAAGAGGTTTTTTGTTTGTTTGTTTTTTGGTACTGGGGATCAAACTCGGGATCTTACTGAGCTACACGTATTTTATATACATAACTTTTTATAACTTTGGCTTTCCATTTGAAGTCTGCAGTGCTGAGGGCTCATTATTTAACCCTGTATCTGAGACCCAAGGCTAAGGTTCCAGAGAATCTGAAGTGGCAGGCAAAGGCCAAGGTCAGCCTTGCAGTAGGACCCTGTCATTCCATCAGCAGTCAGTGACTAAACATGGGAGGTACCAGGAGAGCCAAGACACAGGGGCTTGGCTGGAGTCCTGGGATGCCTGTGTGCACACTGCATGCCTCTGCACTGAAGACACACCATACACATGTGCACCCACCACAAGCTTACGTGCTGCACATCTACATGCCTGCACACACTATGCACACATGCGTCCCCTATGTCATACCTGCATGCTCGCACTTCATGCTTACACATTTTACCATCCAGTTTGGCACACAGACCCTGGTGACTCCCGCTTGAGAAACCATACTGTGAGCCACTATCCCTTACAATAGAGCCTTTGGGACCCTGTTGTTGGATAGGGGTGGGGGACTGAACAGTCACTTGCTGCTGCTGGATATGGAGTCTCAGTCTTGGCCCTCCTGTCAGGCTCCATGAGCTAACATATCTCAAGTGTTCCCTCCAGCTCTTGCCTCTAACGCTGTGTCATCCCTTAGACCCCCTGGTCCTTTCAAGTCTGCAGGGACCCAAGAATGCCACTTTCATGCTAGGAAAAGGACATTGGCAAAGGGCCCACAGGCTAGCCTTGCTTAGGCAAGTTGTTCTTTGGAAAGGCAGAGGCAAAGGGCCAGACTGGTCACACTGTGAGGCCTGGAAGTCCCAGAGGCAGGCCTGAGATGAAGACAGCAACAGGGTCCCCTGGGGCTCCTAGCCGCCTGCTGTCCAAGCTGGTCTGTCTAGACAGCTCGTCCTAAACCTGCCTGACCCCTCAGAAGCATCTTCCCCACAAGCTGCAGCACCTCTGGTCAGCACTGAGCTCCTTTGGAAGCATGGTCCTTTTAGGATTGCACCAAGGTACTAAACTGTGCCTGGGGTTCTGCATGTAAGCCAGAGCACTCCAACCACAGATTAACAGCCCCCAAGACAGCCCCAGGGCTGGGCCCTATGTTTTCCACCCACCCCCTTTGGTAAGGAAGAGAAATGGCTACTGGGAACTTATGGTGGGAGCAGTGGAGAAATGCAAGACCTCTTGGGTCCATGTGGCCATGGGGTAGAAGTATGGCCAGGCAAGCAGGCCTTGCTTGGTTTTGAATCAAGCATTGTGGGTACAAGCATGACCATTCCTGACAGGCAGGATTTCTAAGTAAATGCATCACTGGCTAGGCAGGGCAGCTGAGTGCAAGCAGTAGCCTAGAGGAAAATAGGAGCCTATTCCTCTGTGACTTGGGGGCCGTTAGAGACCACCACAGTGGTGGTGGTGGTGGTGGTGGTGGTGGGGGGGGGCCTCTGACACGAATCTTTAAAAGCTAAAGAATAAAAATAGGAAATAAAAGTGCTGGGAGCCGGGCGTGGTGGCACACACCTGTAATCCCAGCACTTGGGAGGCTAAGGCAGGAGGATCGCTGTGAGTTTGAGACCAACCTGGGCTACGTAGTAAGTTCCAACTACATAGTGAGACCCTGTCTCAAAAAAACAAAACAAAACAAAGTGCTGGAGACGTAGCTTGGTAGTAGAGTGCTTGCTTGGGATGCATAGGTTCCATCCCTAGCTCAACTAACAAAAGAAAAAAGGAAACATTTCCTTAAACACCAATGCATTTCTGGCTGTGCTCTTCCCGCCACAGGTGAACGTGTATGTGCTGGGGAAGACATTTCTGCTCCTAGCGCGAGAGCTCTGCATCAACGCACCAGCTATAGGTATGCCAGGTGGGGGCAGGGTGCCACTGGGCCTCTGGAAATCAGTATTCCAAGGTGCTAGAGTGGGAGGGATGGCACATCAGCATAACTCCAAGGCAAGAAACACTTGGAATCTTCTTGGAGCCTACCTGGGTGGGGCTTCTTTTCTGGTAAAAACCAGAAGATCCATTGCTGGTGCTCACTGGTATAGATAGGGGAAGATGGGCATAACACTTGGAGTTGAGAGCCTGTTTTGTTCAAAAGGAATTGAGAAACACAAATAAGCCACCAGGCCCCTTAAGGCAGGCAGGACTTGCTGACAGACAGGGATGAGGCAGCTTCTGCAGATGGGTGTTGAGTTTTACAATACTGGTTTTTGTAGCTGGCCTAGAGGGCCCTTTCTTACTAGTGACTGTCGGTATCTGGAGCTGTCCTCCTGGTAGTCAAGAGGCACCACCTGGGCCAGGGTGGAGCAGCTGAGAGCCTATTCCTGGGTTACTACCAGTGTGGTCATCCTTCTCTCTCTCTGGAGGTCAAGCTAAGATTTTTCCAGGACAAAGCAAAGAGCCATGGAGTGCACACCTGAGAAGACAGGCTGGGGGCCTGAAAGTATTTCACCCACAGTGTACTCCAGCCCTTAAGACTGAAGTGCCAGTGATACTTTTGGGGAGTACACCTGGCTACAGCCTAGATCCCACATGGGCCTAGGGGACACATGGGCTCCCCTGGGATGCAGATTCTTTCTAACCACTCAGCACTGATCAGCAGGGAAGATAGAAAAGGTAGGTTGCAGAACAGCCACAGTAACATCTCAGTTCAGCTAATAACAGAGCAGTGATGGTCCTTCAGAAATGGGATGAGATATTGGACCTTTTTATCCTTTGACCAGTTTTTGGGTGTCAGCTTCTCCAGAAAGGGGGATAACCTTGGTCAAGACAGCTCTTTGTACCTGAGGCAATTCCCAGAGAGGGACATCAAATATCAGTTAACAACATTCCTGATGGGAAGATGGCAACAAAATGCTCATGGGATGTGATCTGGATCTTCTTCCCATGACAGCGGCTTTTGGACAGAGTGCCCCAGCATATGGTTTCTATAGCCACTTATCTATACATGGATCTTGTTTTGCAAAACCTTTATTATGAAAATCCACTTAAATAGGTAAACTATTCTAAGTGACTTTTCAGTGATTTTTAATTGAAGGGAGGGTCTCAAGGCAAGCTTACAACTACTTGGAATCCAAAAGGCTGAGAGGGACCATCCAAGTGCCCAAAGCTTGGTTGCCACTGGGCAGGAATCTGGAGCCTTTGTTGGGTCTCAATTCTACCTCCCCACCTGAGGCATTTGCCCCAAGAATAGGAAACACCAGACCTCAGCCACAGGCTCTGACTGTATGGAAAAGGTGCCTGTTCACGTATTCAAGCTGATACAATGAGGCAGGCAACAGTGTCCCATACCTCCCCTGAACTTACTGGGTGGCTTCTGACAGAGAAAGGGCCAGATGGTGTACTCTCCGTGGCCCTTTATCCTCAGGCGTAGAAGATAAGTTCTGGGATCTGCCCGCCTTGGACTCCGGTCCCGTTGGTGCTGTCCGAGGAACACTGGAATTGGAAGGCCACTTTACCGCACTGCACTTCTGTCATCCCCTCCTGCCCAAAGTAGCTGAGCTCGCTGCCATCCAGGACAGCACTGGCTGTGTAGAAGGTATCCTGCTCAACCTGGACCGGATGCTCAAACCAGACTGGGAAGGTGTTACTGGATCCATCTGACACAAACTTGGTCAGATTTTGAGCCAGGACCATCCCCAGCCGCTTGAGTTCAATCTTCACACTGTATTCCGCTTTCCCAGAGCTGGACCCATACAGGCCCAGCCCAGCGATAAACACCCTTCTGTCTACAGCAAACTGGATGCTGTCACAGCGCCCACGGTACCGCCACTGGTTGCTTCGGTAGGCAGAAGACTGGAAGCGGTGGCACCTCTGAGGGGCAAGACCTTTCCTCTTGGTCAGGGGGAAGTCAAGGAGGGGCTTGTTGGCAGCAGTATACCACAAGAAAATGTTGTGGGTCTCTTCCAGTGTCAGGATGTCTGACTGGGCGGCACCATTGGCAAACTCTTCCAGAGTCATGGTTGGAATTCGGACCAAATAGAGGGCTTGCCCCAAAACGTGCCTCTTATTGTGTGGAGTGACTGGCAGACCCTGCCTTTTGCACTCCGCCTCAGCCCAGTTCAGGACAGCCTCAAAGACCACTGCCTCCTTGGTGTTGAGGGCCTCCCGAGCCACAATGATCTCCAGTGTCTGCCGGTCAATCTCACAGAAGCCTTCAGACCGCAGGGCCATCTCAGCCTGTGCATCAATGACCTCCCAGCATCGCTGGGTCAACTCTGGCTCCTCAAACAGCCGGCTCTGAGACAGGAGGACACAGGCGTTTTTTGCTTCCAGACTTGTCTCCAGAAAATTGACGCAGGCTTTTGCCAGGGCAGGCACAATGTACTTCTTGGCAGCATACAGAGTAGCCAGCACCGTGTCGGCCTCAAGATCGATCTCGTCACTATACATGTACCTGGAAGGCGGGGACTGCTGGGTGGCCCCTTCCGGGCTGCAGGTGCCAGCAGAGAGGCACCCACCCTCCCCCCACCCTCCCCAGCAAAGCACTTACTTTAGCAAGACCAGGAATGCGGCAGGCTCCACGTCCGGAATGTGGATTTCAGACTTGACTTCCGCAAGATCCCCATAGAACATCGCGTAGAAGACGGAGCTGCCGACCGCCAGCACGTACTGTGAGTGAGAGAGCCCGTGAGCAGCGGCGTGGCCCCGTAGGGCCGGGGTATGCGTCACTACTCACCTTGTGGGCAGGCACCCGCCGGGCCGTTCCAGGGGGCCCCACGACGAAGTGGACGTCGGCCATGAGCTCGTTGTTGAACATGAGCGCGTTCCTCTCGCGCAGCGTGGGGT